GAGGACTCCCAAATTGCAAACCCTGTCTGAGGGGCGTAAAATTTCATCCCCCAGCCTGAGTGATGGAATACTAACCAATTTTTTGGGAGGGAAACACAACAGCCACTCGGTCTTGTCTGGATTGAGCGCAAGCTTGTTAACCCCTATCCAGACCCTGACAGCCTCCAGGCACTGGCACATCGCATTAAATCCTGGAGGTAGGCTCCAAATGGCTCTTCTCCAGATTGACGGAAAACCCATGTTGCTGTAGTGCGTGGATGGTGGCATTAAGATCCTGGTACACCCGCTCTCTGGACGACGACATTAACAGGATGTCGTCCAGGTAACAAACGATCCTCACTGGACGAGTTCTGAGGTGTGCAGCGACAGCAGCCAGGAGTTTGGTGAAAGTCCTGGGGGCCGATGATGGGCCAAAGGGAAGAGCCTTGTATTGATAATGTTGGTTTGCAAACTGGAACCTCAGGAACTTGCGATGCGCTGGATGAATGGGGACATGCAGGTACGCTTCCTTCAGGTCGATTGATGTCAGGAAGTCACCCTGCCTGATGCGACCCAAGATGGTCTGGAGTGATTGCATCTTGAAACGCTTGTATGCTATGTGGATATTGAGTTTCTTGAGGTCCAGTATAGCTCTCACCCCTCCCGAGGCTTTGGGAACCAGAAAGAGGATCGAGTAGAATCCCCTGCCCTCTTGACCCCGGGGTACCTGCTCTATGGCCACTATGTCCAGTAGATGCTGGATCTCCGCCTGCATCATTTGTCGCTTGTGAGTCGCTTTTGGGATGGGCAACGAATGAAGGACCGAGGGGGGAGGGAAAGGAAGTCTAAGGTAAGGCCGTGACAGATCGTGTTCAGCACCCAAGTGTCCGTCGTTGTCTCCTCCCACTGGTCGGCATAAAGCTGTAGGTGACCCCAATGGGAGGCAACCAGTGACAGTCACTTGAGTCTGCAAAAGGAGCAGTTGGAAAAAACCCTCGAAAGGACCTGTGGTTCCCTTGCTGTCTGGATTTGTCCCTGAAGGACACCCTATCCTGGGTGTGGTCCTGTGATTGGGAATAGGACCTGG